TGATGATACTTTATTGACTTTATATTGGGTTAGCTATTACAACTATTTTTACAGAGATAAGAGTACAGCTAGTCATACTTGCAACTTTTGGTTGCCTATTTAAGTAGTCCACTCTAAGGTTTTACACTAAATGCTGTACCTATAACCTACTAAGAGATTATCTATTTAAATCTTCTGATTATCTGTCCTGTTATATTGGAATCCCCAACTTACCTTTCATATATATCTAACTGGTATACCATCTGAGCAGTATGGTTACCTACTCTTTTTGTACTGGTTTCCAGGCCATTACACATTTCAGCATACATCACCTGCCAGTAAGGTGCAGGAGGCCCCTATTATTAACTATTTATACACTTTTAAAACACTAATACAGGCTACTCTTATAGAGTTCACCCAGACCTCAGTACTGACTTTACAGCATATCCCTAGTACTTTTAGTATACTTCTGCTTTGAACTCAGACTCCCAATTCAGATAACCCAAAAGGACTATGACCTGTTCTTGGTATATTAAGGCTGAGTTAATATTCTTTTCCTTCAGTCTAAAATCTGGCAGCCTAATTGGTAATACCCCTTATCCAAGATTCTTGCCTGCCTGAATCCTTCACATTGGTATTCATTTCTTAGGTCTAGCCTTTATAATAGTACTGTTGAAGATCTATGTTATCTCTCAGTTCAGAATTTCCAAGTGGGCTCTGACTTCTTAGTTCTATGAATTTATACAGTCTGAGAACTTATTTTAGGTTTGCACTGCCCAGTACCAGATTACACAGATGCCCCAAACCTATCAGTTATGCTAGTGTGACTATAGTTACAGGTATCCTATCCCAACTGATCAACAGAATGCTATTGCCATAATATCATCTATATATTACACAGATTATTATCCAAATTTTACCATCAGTAGGTTTTGAACTCACAACCTATCACTTGAGGGTATGACAACTTATCTATTTCACTAAGTCACCACATCCTTCTTTAAGAAGAATTATTTTTTGTAATTACAAAAGATAAAAGAAAAAAAAGCTATAATTAGAGAACAACTATATATTAACTTAGTTAAAAAGAATTTAGCTACCTTAGATTATAATAAAAAAGCTATAAAATTAGAACCTAAAAGTGATGATAAGAATATCATATTAGACTATTCAACTTCTGATATCAAAAGTAATAAAGAAAAAATATTCAACAATATTGGAAATTATAATAAAAGATTTAGTTAGATATTATTTTGGATCTTGAAATACCAACAAAGATATTAGTTACCAGACACTGCAACAGATTTTTTACTTAAATTTATTAATTATCTATTGACTTATCTTGATTAAGATCAGTTTACAAACTTTTCTAAATTACTCTATTTGGTTCAAAAGTTAATAAAATTAGGTTAAACTAGTTATACGCATATACATACAAAATTAGCTAAACAAATGCAAATCACCTAATTTTACAATAAAGCTAGTACATACTGACATACTTTGATTAGCAAATTTCATGGGAATCAGACATCTGGAAATGCTAGTATATGATTACATAAATTTTATTTTCTTGATTTTTTAGGCAATCACATAAACAGGAGAATCCCACACACAGTGTGATCAATTACACCTAAAATTATTTATTTTAGTTTTAATTGATCACACCGTGTGCGGGATTCACTTTGGATCGGGACGTTTCCTCCTCTAAATCACATATCGATATTTGCATGTTTTTTTCTAGATCCATGATTCCCGTTGTGATACATGTCCTTTGCTGATCATATTAATTTGTAAAGCACAATGAATTAAGGATACAATTAAACGTCCATTGTGTCTTTAATAGGATTCTTTTTAAAATTATACTGTACTCGACACAATCAAGCGAAAAGTTGACATTCAAATACGTACTTACGTATTTGTCAACCGATTATAAGTTAATATACTTAATATTCAATATTTAAAAATGTTTTCCTATAACTAAAATTTCGTGCTGAAAGCTTTTTATTTAGAAGTCAAACTGTTATTTGCGATTTTTCTGTTCTACCTGTATATGCGTACAGTAGTCGTTAATTACCTAACATTTTACTACCGGTATGATTTACCGGCATGATTTACTGATAGTCCAACTCACTGATTTTATTTCCTTTTCCCTAATAAGTTTTTTTTTTTTGACAACAATTCTAGTAACAGCCATTTTATCAACATCTATATTGTCATTAACTAACTACTAAAGTCAATCTTAACAATCGGTGGCTTTAATAAAATCACCGACAGGCATTTTGCCATTAGCCAACACTAACTATAAAGCAGACCACCCAATCTAAGTTGATCAAATTTGTCAACAAAGTAGTTGCAGTAAATAAATGTCAGTAAAATTCCGTAAATTAGGACATCTATAATTTAAACTATTGGAGAAAAAGCCTGTCAGTAAATTAGTGTTAGTGAATAAGGTGTCGGTAATTGAATTGTTGCTTTGCATCATATGACTAAACAATAAGTGTCCAATTTTAGTGGGCCTGTAATACAGAAACTACGTTATTTTATCATGCAAGAGCACTTTATTCATTATTTATTAAAAAAGAAGGTTCGAATTAAAATTTCTTATCACCAATACGTATCAAAGTGATATTAAATGATTAGATGTCTATATATACGTATCTGTTAATCTTTATTATTATTATTATTATTATTATTATCATATATATGTTGCCTTAAATGTCGAATTGGCTAATTAAAATTAGGATTACCAGGAACGGAATGCAACGAAGTGCTTGGTTATTAGAGGAGTGAAATGGCGTCAACAAATACGTTCTTCTGATTGGTGTCCTTTCACATGACATGGTATTTATCCGGTTTTGTGGACTTTTGCAGTTTAGTTACAAGGGCGTAAGCCTCGCTTTTTTTGATTTTACCTATTTTGACCGTGAGCATATATCGACGTATGTTTCTAAAAAAAAAAGTAGCTTAACCAGATTTGGTTATATAATTTTTCTAAGAAAGAAAAAAAAATTATATGCGGTTAAAATCGATTAATACGTACGTAACACCCAATTCTATCATATTTTTGCTTATTTTGGGGGTCGTTTAAAGCCTGGCACCTTACGAAATTTCCCGATATATTTCCCGCATTATTCCGAACAACCCGACAAAGCCAAAAACACGAAAATATAAAAAAATGGCTATCTAAACTGGTCTTGATGCACTAAGTAAAATTGTCGGAAATGCGAGTTTACTATATATATATTAACCTTCTAGCCTATGTATAACCCTAACCCTTAATATTAATTAAAAATAGGAAAACCGGAAGGTGCCAGGCTTTAAACGTCCCCTTATTTTGGATAATACTTTAAAAATGTAACATTCACTTACCATTTTTATTTAAAATAGATCGCTTATAAACTTTTCTATTTATATATCGATTCCAGTACGTATGAGCTTTTCCACTTTGTTAAACTAATTCGTACATAAAAAAAAGTTTTTGTTATAATAGTTTACTTTATTAATGTCATAAAATTATAGCAGGAACATGTGAATGATGATAAAATTGCAAATTTTAAACATTTGTAAGTGACCTGATTTATTGCGATTTGATCATTTAATCATTAAAAAAAAAAGCAATCACTGATTTCAATTTTTTTTTGACTTTTAAATTAGACAAAATTTGTGCAGTTATTGTTTGTAAAAATTTGATTTAATATTTTTAATGATAACTCCTATTTTTACAAAATAATAAATGTACAAATTTATCTAATTTGAAAGTTAAAAAAATAAAATACAATAATTATTTTTTTTTTTAATGAACTTCAGGATTCACATTATTTTGCAAACTACAATAAATAATGTGAACCTGAACTTTTTTTTCACCTTCAGTGCTTACAGTATGTACAGTGTCTATTTAGTGATTCGATTTACTAATAGAATAAATTAGCAAAAATTTTTATGTACAATATGTACAGTATGTTGTGGAACCTGGTTGTTCAAAGTGATATATTACCTAATTAGGGAAGGTGTTGATCGCATCTGTTACACATGACTAATCAGTTGCATGTGACATATGCATCAAATGTGGCAGATAGTAGTAATTGAGTAGAAGGAAAATATTAGTAGAATATGACTAATTAATAGCATCAGTGATATCATTTATATCTATTGTATAATGTAAATAGAAGATTTTAATTATAAATAAAAGTCGAAATGTCTTTTGAGAATAATAATTTCCTCTTTGGCAACAATATATAATCTACACAATTGATAATCACTCAAATAAACTGCTTGATACTAATAATAAACAGAAACCTTTATTAAAAATACAATTGTCATTATATCATCTATTTGAAGCTTCTTTATTAGTAGAACCCTACCACTTTTCAGACAAACCATTTGACAAATCTAACACATCTCTTTCAACTCGATTTACTCCCTCTAAAGATTATATAAGAAATCTAACCAATTAACAACTAACTCACTGTTTTACGATTATAATATATAGTACTGTATGAGGCACATTACTAATCCAATTATCATTGTTTGCATATTGATACAACATATAATAAAATTTGTAAATTACTACATATTCTAATTGTTTAATTGCAATCAATTGCAATTGATTGTACCTAATTGTATATAATTATATGCAATTGTATTTGATTGTTTAATTTATTTATAAATATATAGTAAAACTATATAAAAAATATTATTTTTTTTTATTTTTATAAAATAATTATGGATTATCTTATTGGTACTTGTTACCAGTATGTAAAGTGTTTTTATTGCAAAGAAGATTCTTTGAAATCTTTATGTAAATATAATAAAAATATAACATTTACAATACAAAATCATATAAAATTAGTTTTATATATTTTTACAATTCATTATAATACAAAATTTAATAATAAATAAATTAAAGTTTTAACAGATTCAAAGAAAAAATATAATTATAATATGGAATTTATAGAAAATTTCAAATTTTTATTTTGTTCTGTATATAATAGTAAATGATATTGTATTGGTAAAACTAAACCAACAAGATCAAAGATGACTAAATCTATAAACTTAAAGTTGATCAAATTTATAAGTTCTACTAAATGTGCAATTTTTGATAACAATAATTATATTACCAACATATCTGAAATTAACAAGTTTGATAATCATATAACTCTTATTAACAATAATAATAATCATATTATTAACATATCTGAAACTCAACATTTTATTACTATTCAAAAAAAAACTCTTTCCTACAGATCATCAAAACAAACAAAATTGACAAAAACTAAAAATAATATTACAAGTATCCTTTGATAATATAACTTTTCTTAAAGAAATTGGATCTAACATTGTTAGACTTAGTATTACCAGAAATCCAAACCACAAGTGGTTAAATTTGTTCTGATTGCTAGTGCAAAGTTGGCAACCTGAATAAAGAGTGATCAAATTTTGTTTATTTTTCATTTATGATCTGTACAAACTAATCAACTTGGCCAGTTCTTCTTAAAAATACTAAAAAGGCTATAGATTTTATCAATTCAATGTGGTTTTCTTTTAATTTAATATAAAAATTACTTTTATTAAAACTAAATTATTCGAAAAACTTTGATTCAGTTACTGGAAAAATTTTTCTTTTGTTTTTTTTTCTGACAGAAGTGGGGCATCACTTTATTCTAGAAAAATCGTAAAGCATACATGATCAATCAAATTAGTAAACAACAAAACAAACAAGCAGCCACATTCCAGATATAGAAATATATAACAATCACAAAAAAATCAACAAACAGCAAGTCAGATACAAAACTAAATTAGGGAATAAATAGTCAAACAACAAAAATACAAAAATAAATCAAACAAATAAAGTAATCAAATGAAGATAATTAACAAACAAAGCTTAATCCAGTAAGTTCAAGGAACGGGTAACAAACTGCGTAGATACTTAAACAGCAATAAATTAAATTGCATCCTAGAAACATCCATGACTAAGAACCAAGTGACTTAGAAACTATAGTAAAAAACTTAGCTCTTGGTGATTCTCAAAAAATTACAACTAAAGAACTTTTACTATATAGTCAAATACTCAAAGCCTTGAGATATGCATCAAGAGAAACAAAAAAAGTATCAAAGAAAACTATTGAGAAGTGGGCCAATAAAATTAAGATAGCAAGTTAAAACCTAGATTCTGTTGATTACATATTAAGTTTAAGCAAAGAAGAAACAAAAAAAGAAAAGAACAAAATGGAGGGGATTGAAGAAAT